TGGTGTTTACTATACACTGAGATATACATCTCTCAGTGTATATACACTGAGATATACACCTCTCAGTGTTATATACACTGAGATATACATCTCTCAGTGTATATTCACTGAGATATACACCTCTCAGTGTATATACACTGAGATATACACCTCTCAGTGTATATACACTGAGATATACACCTCTCAGTGTATATACACTGATATATACACCTCTCAGTGTATATACACTGAGATATACACTCTCAGTGTATATACACTGAGATATACATCTCTCAGTGTATATACACTGAGATATACACCTCTAGTGTATATACACTGAGATATACACCTCTCAGTGTATATACACTGAGATATACACCTCTCAGTGTATATACACTGAGATATACACCTCTCAGTGTATTATACACTGAGATATACACCTCTCAGTGTATATACACTGAGATATACACCTCTCAGTGTATATACACTGAGATATACACCTCTCAGTGTATATACACTGAGATATACACCTCTCAGTGTATATACACTGAGATATACACCTCTCAGTGTATATACACTGAGATATACACCTCTCAGTGTATATACACTGAGATATACACATAATACAAACAAAGTTTTCCACTAAAATTTACTTAAGTTTCCCACTTTCTAAAATTCTGACGTTTTCTTTGATTCTTTTTACATGGGTAACTAAAATATTATTTTATGTCTCCTTTCTCATGTATTTTACTTTCGTGCAAGAATGGTATATAATACCGACAAGATGAAATTAACACACATGTGCACATGTTGCACATGTCTCTGTCTCTCTGTCTCTGTCTGTCTGTCTCTGTCTGTCTGTCTCTGTCTGTCTGTCTTGTCTCTGTCTGTCTTGTCTGTCTGTTCTGTCTCTCGTCTCTCTGTCTCTGTCTGTCTGTCTCTGTCTGTCTGTCTCTGTCTCTCTGTCTGTCTCTGTCTGTCTGTCTCTGTCTCTCTGTCTGTCTCTGTCTCTGTTGTTTCTCTGTCTCTCTCTTTGTCTCTGTCTGTCTGTCTCTGTCTCTCTCTCTCCTGTCTCTGTCTCTCTTCTGTCTGTTTGTCTCTGTCTGTCTGTTCTCTCTGTCCTGTTTGTTCTGTTCTCTCTGTTGTCTCTGTCTCTCTGTTTGTTCTTCTGTCTCTCTGTCTTGTCTCTGCTCTCTGTCTCTGTCTCTCTGTCTGTCTGTTCTCTGTCTGTCTGTCTCTGTCTGTCTGTTTTGTCTCTGTCTCTCTGTTGTTCGTCTCTTTTCTCTGTCAGTCTCTGTCTCTGTCTGTCTCTGTCTCTCTGTCTGTCTCTGTCTCTCTGTCTGTCTTTTCTCTCTGTCTGTCTGTTTGTCTCTGTCTGTCTGTCTCTGTCTGTCTGTTTGTCTGTCTGTCTTTTCTGTCTGTCTCTGGTTCTCTCTGTCTGTCGTCTGTCTGTCTCTGTCTGTCTGTCTGTCTCTGTCTCTCGTGCTCTGTCTTGTCGTCTCTCGTGTTTGTCTCTGTCTGCTCTTCTCTCAGTCTGTATGAGCATCAAAAAATTTTTTGTCTTCTTTCCTCTTCTTCATATATCTTATGTATATGTATTAGTATTTCATTGATATTCATTTATTTATATTTGTTATATCATTATTTATTGTTTAGTATTCTTAATGCTATCGTTATATAATATTGTGTATATTTATGTCATTTTTTTGTTATATGTTTATATTTACTGATACTATTGTTTTGTTGTAGTACTTATTATTGTTTTTTTTGTTGTCTTTTGTTTGTTGTTGTTTTCTGTGTTGTTGTTTGTTTCTTGTTTTATATTTATGTTGATTATATTTTCTTGTCTTTTTTAATATATGTTGATTTTTTCTTTATTATTTCTTTGATATGTTCATTATTTATTTGTTTATTGTTTGTTTATTTATATTAGTATATAATTTATTCTTATATATTTATAATTTTATATAATTATCTATACTATATATTATAAATTTGATATTATTATTTTTATAATGAGTAATGTATAATAATCTGTTTGTTGACTGTTCTCTATCTGTTTATTGTCTGTGTTTTACGCTAATGTGTTCTGGTCTTGTTTGTCTGTGTCTGTTGTTGTTGCTAGTGCTTCTTTTTAATTAGTTGCTAGGTTTTGAGAGTTTGCTAGTCTTATAGTAGTTGCAAGTTTAATAGGTAGTTGCTAGGTGCTGTTAGGTGTTACTAGGTGTTGCTAGGTGTTTGCTAGGTTGTTGCTAGGTATAATAGATAGGTGATATGACACAACAGTCTGTGGGTAGACAGGTATGTAATAGAATGATAGTGTTAATATGTCTTGAAGTGACGTATGCAAAGTCTCAGTAGCCTCATAGCCCTATCCCTAACTCTAGCCATTAATTCCATAGCCATACCTATATAATGCACTAGTTCCTGCGTAATTCTAGCCCTACCTCTAGCCTAGTAGCCCAGCCTCCTAGTGCTATTATCCCTGCCCGCAGCCCGCTAGGCTCCTAGTTCTAGTGTCCCTAGCGTAATTCCTAGCCCCTACCTCCTAGCACGAAGCCCCCGCCTACTACTAGTAGTTAATAAATCATCCATCAGCCCCCAGCCCCTAGCTCCTACCTCCTAGCCACCAGTCCCTAGCCGTGCATTCCTAGCCCCTATTCCTTGCCACTAGCCCCCACCCCCTTGCCCTAGTTAAAAACCCCTGCCCCCAGCCCCTAGCTCCTCCCTCCTACCCCATAGTCCCTAGCCGTGTTTCCTGCCCCTCACCCTTGCCACTAGCCCCCGCCCTAGTAGTTAATAATCCCTAGCCCCCACCCTGCCCCTACCTCTAGACTAGTCCCTAGCCCGTGTTTCCTAGCCCCTTTCCCCTTCCCCACTAGCCCCGCCCTACCCCCTAGTTAATAACCCCTACCCCCCCAGCCCCAAGCCCCTACCCCTACCCACTAGCCCCCTAGCCGTGATTCCTAGCCCCTACATCCTTCCACTCCCCCCAGCCCCTGCCCTATTTTAATAATCCTACCCCCAGCCCCTAGTCACCTTAGCCACTAGTCCCTACCCGAAATTCCCTAGCCCCTCCCTCCTACCCACTAGCCCCCACCCCCTAGCCTATTTAAATAATCCCTCCCCCCACCCCCTAGTCCTCCTCCTAGCCATAGTCCCTGCCGTGTTCCCTAGCCCCTACACCCTTCCCACTGCCCCCAGCCCCAGCCAGTTAAAAATCCCTACCCCCCAGCCCTAGCCCTCCCCTCCTAGCCATATCCCTAGCCGTGTTTTCCTGCCCAAATCCTTGCCACTACCCCCCGCCTACCCCTGTTAATAATCCCTAGCCCCCCCCCCTAGCTCCTCCCTCCTGCCACTGCCCCTACCCGTGATTCCTGCCCCTAATCCTTGCCATAGCCCCCCCCCCTAGCCCTTGTTTTAATAATCCCCCCCCCGCCCTAGCTCCTCCCCCTCCTAGCCACTGTCCCTACCCGTGTTTCCTAGCCCCTAACCCTTCCACTAGCCCCAGCCCCTAGCCCTAGTTAATACCCCTAGCCCCCACCCCCTAGCTCCTCCCTCTCCCATAGTTCCCTGCTTCCAGCCCCTAACTCTAGTCCCTAGGTTAGCCCCAGCCCCTAATCCTAGTCCCTAGCTCTGAAGGGTGTTCACTGGCCTGGATTAAAATGCAGGTAGTCACCTTTTAAAGGGTATTGTACACTTGACGCATTGTGATTTCTGTAGGTATTGTACATCTCGACGTCTTGTACATCCTGAAGGTCAGTACATCTTTTAAGTCATTGACATTTGTAAGGTCAGGTACATCTCTGAAAGGTCTTGTAATCTTTGTAAGGTCATTGTACTCTTGAGCATGTAATCTTGACGTCATTGTAATCTCGAAGGTCATTGACTCCGAGTATTGTCATCTTGACGTCATTGTACATCTCTGAAGGTCTTGGGACATCTTGACGTCATTGTCTTCTCGTAAGGTATTGTCATCTTGAGTATTGTACTTCTCTGTAAGGTCATTGTACATTCTGAGTCTTTGTACATCTCTGGTCATTGTACATCTTTGTAAGGTCATTGTAATCTTTTTAAGGTCATTGTACATCTCTGTAAGGTCATTGTACCTTGGTAAGGATGTGCTCTTTGTAAGTCTTGAAATCTCTGTAAGGTATTGTAATTTTTGTAAGGTATTGTACATTCTGTAAGGTATTGTCATTCTGAAAGGTCATTGTGATCTTTGTGGGTATTGTACATCTCTGAAAAGGTCATTGTTCTTTGTAAGGTCATTGTACATCTCTGAATTTTTCATGTACATCTCTGTAAGGTCATTGTGTCTTTGAAAGGGTCATTGAAATTCTGTAAGGTATTGTATTCCGTCGTCATTGTAATCTATGTAAGGTTTTGTACATTTTGAAAGGTCTTTGTTCTTGTGTCTTTGTCTCTCTGAAAAGGTATTGTACATCTCTGTGGGTCTTGTCTTCGTAAGGTCTTTGTCATTTGTAAGGTATTGTAATCTCTTCGTCATTGTACATCTTTGTAAGGTTTTGTAATCTTTGTAAGGTCATTTAATCTTTGTAAGGCTTTGTGCTCTCGTAAGGTCATTGTACATCTCTGTAAGGCATTGTGCATTTTGGGTCATTGTAATTATTAAGGTCATTGTACATCTTGTCGTCATTGTACTCTCGTAGGTATTGTAACTGTGAAAGGTCTTGTAATTTTGGGGTTTCATTGTACATCTCTGAGTTTGACATCTTTGTAAGGTCTTGTGATCTCTGACGTTTGTATACCCGAAGGTCATTGTACATCTCTTTAAGGTCATTGAAATTTTTTGAAAGGTATTGTGCATCTTGACGTCTTTGTTATTGTAAGGTTTTGTGCATCTTGTAAAGGTCATTGTAATTTTTAAGGTCATTGTACTCTTTGTAAGGTCATTGTACTCTTTGTAGGTCATTGTACTTCTATAAGGTCATTGTCTCTCTTGTCATTGTACTCTCTGTAGGTCATTGTACTCTCGTCGTCTTGTACATCTTGAAAGGTCATTGTGCATCTCTGAAAGGTCTTTGTTCTTTTTTAAGGTCATTGTAAATTTTTGAAAGGTCATTGTACTCTTTGAAAAGGTCATTGTACACTTTGTAAGGTATTGTCATCTTTGTAAGGTCTTTGTCATCTCTATAAGGTCTTGTCATCTCTGTCGTTTTGTACTCTTGTAAGGCTTTCATCTTTGAAAGGTCTTTGACATTTTAAGTTAATTGTACAACTCTGTAGGTCTTGTAAAACTCTGAAAGGTCATTGTACATTTTGACGTCTTGTAAACTCTGTAAGGCATTGTACTCTCGACGTCATTGTAAAAACTTGTAAGGTAAATTTTTAAATCTGAAGGTCATTGTAAAAACTTTGTAAGGCCCATTGTACAATTGAAGGTCATTGTACAATCTGTAAGGTATTGTCAACTTGTAAGGTCATTGTACATTTCGACGTATTGAAATCTCTGTAAGGTCTTGTACATTTTGTAGGTCATTGTACATCTTTAAGGAAAATTTGTACAACTCTGTAAGGTAATTGTACAACTCTGAAGGGTATTGTACTCTCTGAGTCATTGTAAACTCTGTAAGGTCTTGACATCTCTGCGTCATTGTAAACTCTGTAAGGTCATTGTACATTGAAAGGTCTTGTAAAAATAGAAAGGTCATTGTAAAACTATGAAAAGGTCTTGTAAACTCTGAAAGGTCTTGTAAAACTCTGTAAGGTCATTGTACTTTCTGACGTCATTGTACATTCTGTAAGGTCTTGTACTCTCGCGTCATTGTAAAACTTTGTAAGGTCTTTGTAATTGTAAGTTTTGTACATATGTAAAGTTTGAGTACTGAGGTTATAGAGAGCTTACATCAGATGTTTTTGTCCATGTATTCTATGAAAAGACAGTAGGGAAGATTGAGTACTCTTTCATCGTGACGTCTTTTGGGAAAAAATTTTCAGGAAATTTAAATTGAATATGGCCACGGAACCCAGTTTTAACAAGTCCCCCGACTATGGTTCCATTTTATGTGGGGTTCGACACGTGGATTAGGTAAAGAAATATCACGTGGTGGTGTACGTAAAATTTAAGATAATGTTTTGTAACGCCCTTACGCCGTCCTATCTCTCTCGTCCTCTGAAACATGAGCCGGGCCGCCCACAGTCCCCCTTTGGGGAGAGGGTCTTTGATAATGCCAGGTCAGCCAAATATGAGTTGATAGGACTAAGGCAGATAGGTTGGTCGTTGAGTAACGCTCACGGGTTTTACTGGTAACTGGTTACTACTACTGAGAAGGTCATTGTACATATGTAAGGTCATTTTACATCTGTAAGGTCAGTGTACATCTGTAAGGTCTTTGTACAATCTGTAATGTTTTGTTCTCTGTCGGTCTTGTAATCTTACGGTCATTGTACATCTGAAAGGTCATTGTACAATCTGAAAGGTCATTGTAATCTGTAGGTCATTGTACATTGAAAAGGTCTTGTACAATCTGAAAGTCATTGTAAAACTCTGTAAGGTCATTGTACAACTTTGTAAGGTCATTGTACAACTCTGTTAGGTCATTGTACATCTGTAAGGTCATTGTACATCTGTAAGGTCATTGTACATCTGTAAGGTCATTGTACAACTCTGTAAGGTCATTGTACAACTCTGTAAGGTCATTGTACAACTCTGTAAGGTCATTGTACATCTATAAGGTCAATGGCTCTTAGTTCCCTCCCCCAGGATGCCTCCCACAACATTTATCTGGGGTCCAGAAGCATAACGAGACATATCCACAGCTTCCCCCCGCCCGGAAATCGAACCCCACGTTTTCCCTTCGGCTTGTGTGACGTAAAGTTTATGATACCACTGTATAAATACGAAGTACGGATGGGAGAGACGAAAGTTTGAGAAACAAAATCACGGATGTTGGTAAGGACTTCAGTCGTTATCGGGCGTAATGCGGGAATTGAGTAATTGGGGGAATTTGCATGGTATTGCAGGCTGGGGCGGAGGGTTGGGTTCCCTGCATGGGGCTTTGGTCCAGACGGGTCGCCTGTTGGTCGCTGCCGTGCGGGGGGATTTTCGCGCGTCTTGAGGGGGGGGTCTGCGCGTAGGTATCGTGGAGGGGGTGATGATGGAGGCGGGGTTTGTGGAGTGTGAGAAGGGTTGGGGTTTGCATGGCAGCACGCGAGCAGCGAGAGGAGAGAGCGGAGGAGCAGAGAGTAGAGAGAGACAGAGAAGAGAGTAGAGAGATGAGACGCCGCGATGAGAGCGAGAGGACGAGAGACGAAACGGAGAGAGAGAAGAGAATCGGAGATTGGCGAGAGATAGAGCCGATAGAGAAGAGAGAGAGAGAGAGATAGGAGAGGAGGAGATAGAGCGACTCGAAGAGAGAGTGTAGAGGAGCATTAGAGCTAGAGAAGAGAAATAGAGAGATCGAGCAGAGAGCAGAGATAGAGAGCGATAGCGAGATAGAGGAGACTTCCGCGCGATAGACGGAGAATGAGAGAGAGAGGGAGAGAATACGACTGTGAGAGAGAGAGAGAGAAGAGAGAAGAAGAGAGTGAGAGAGGGGGAGCGAGAGAGAGAGCGAGAGAGAGAGAGAGGAGGAGTAGAGAGAGATAGAGAGCGCGAGCAGAGCGAGAGAGAGAGAAGTAGAGAGCAGAGAAAATATACCAGATAGAGCAGAGAGAGAGCGAGAAATAGCACCGAGCGAGTGAGAGAGACGAAGAAGAGAGCGAGAATGAGAAAACAGCGCAGCGAGAGAGGAGGCTCGCGCGCGCACAGAGCGTAGAGGGAGCGGGCTTAACGGGGAGGAGGACGGGGCGGAGAGGGACGAGACGTCAGAGGAGATGAATTAGAGCAGAGCTGCTCGCGAGAGTACGAGATATGAGACGATCAGAGCGAGAGAGAGACGATGAGCGGAGAGCTAAGCTCAATATTAGGAGAAGACGAGAGAAGTCGACCCGAGCGCTCTCTGTGATCGTATACGCGAGCAGTCTACACGAACGCTTCAGCAGCGTCCACATCGGGGGGGGTTTCCCTTTTTTAAAAAGGGGGGTTGGCCGGGGGGGGTTTCGGCTTGGGGGGGGTTTTTGGTTGGGGGGTAAAGGGGGTGAGGGGGGGGGGGGGGCCCACGGGGGGGGGGGGGGGGGTTTTAGGGGGGGTTTGGGGGGTGAACGGGGGGGGGGCGGGGGGAAAGAAAGAACGGGGGGGGGGGGGGGGGTGGGGGAAAAACCAAAAAAAGGGGGGGGGGGGTTAAAAAAACCTTTGGGGTCCCCCAAAACCCCCCCCAATTTTTTTCCATTTTGGGGGGGAAAAAAAAAAAAAACCCCCCCCCCCCAAAAAATAAAAAGGGGGGCCCCCCCATTTTTTCCCCCCCCTTTTATCCTTTCCCCCCCCTTTTCCCCCCTTTTTTTTTTCCCCCCCCCCCCTTTTTTCCCCCCCCCCCCTCCCCCCCCCTTTTTTTCCCCCCTTTCCCCCCCCCCCCCCCCCCCCCTTTTTTTTCCCCCTTTTTTCCCCCCCCTTTTCCCCCCCCTTCCCCCCCCCCCTTTTTTCCCCCCCTTTACCCCCTTTCCCCCCTCTCTTTCTTCCCTTTCTCCCCTTCCCCCTCCCCCCCCTCTCTTTTTACTCTTCTCTCTCTCTCTCTCCCTTTCCCCTTTTTTTTCTCTCCTCTTTCTCTCTCCTCTTCTTTCCCCTCCCTCCTCTTCCCCTTTTCCCCCCCTTCTCTTCCCCTCTCTCTTCCTCTCTCTCCTTCTCTCTTTTTCCTCTCTCTCTCTCTCTCTTTTTTTTTTCCCCCTTTTTTTTTTCCCCCCCCAAAACCCCCCCCCCCCCCACCCCCTCACCACAATTTGGAGTGGTAGCAGACAAAAGACTACCACAATTGTTTGTAGTGGTGGTAGCCAGAAAACCAAGCTACCACAATTGTTGTAGTGGTGGGTTTGCCAGGACAAAAAAGGCTCTCCACAATTGTTGTAGTGGTGGTAGCCAGACAACAAGCTACCACAATTGTTTTTGTGGTGGTACCAGACAACAAGACTACCACAATTGTTGTAGTGGTGGTAGCCAGACAACATGACTACCACAATTGTTGTTAGTGGTGGAATCAGACAACAAGACTACCACAATTGAATGTAGTGGGGTAGCCAGACAACAAGAACTACCACAATTGTTGTGGAGGTGGAACCAGACTACAAGACTACTCACAATTGATGTAGGGTGGTAGTCAGACCTAACAAACTACCACAATTTGGGTAGTGGTGGAAGCCCATAAGCAAAACTACCACAATTATTGTAGTGGTGGTAGCCAGACAAACAAGAACTACCACAATTGTTGTAAGTGGTGGTAGCCATACAAAACGACTACCACAATTGTTGTAGTGGTGGTAGCCGACTACAAGCCTACAAACAATTGTTGTAATGGTTGTAGCCAGCAACAAGACGACCACAATTGTGTAGTGGTGGTAGCCAACAACAAGACACCACAATTGTTTTTAGAGTGGTAACCAGACAACAAGCCGACTACAATTGTTGTATGGTGGTAGCCAGACAACAAGACTACCACAATTGTTGTAGTGGGGTAGCCAGACAACAAGACTACACAAATGTTGTATGGTGGTAGCCATACAACAAGACCTACCAAAAATTGTAGTAGTGTGGTACCCGACAACAGACTACCACAATGTTTTAAGTGGTGGTAGCCAGACAACAAGCCTACCACAATTGTATGGTGGTAGCCAGACAACATGCTACCACAATTGTTGTAGTGGTGGGTAGTCCCGACTACAAGCCTACCACAATTGTTGTAGTGGAGGTATCCATACAACAAGACTACCACAATGTTGTAGTTGTGGGTAGCCAGACCACAAGGACTACCACAATAGTTGATAGTGTGTGTAGCCAGACAACAAAGCCATACGCACAGATTGTTTTTAGTGGTGGAAGCCAGACAACAAGAACTACCACAATTGTAGTAGTGGTGTTAGCCAGAAACAAGACAACACAATTTGTTGTAGTGTGGAGCCAGACAACAAGACTACCACAATTGTTGTAGTGGTGGTAGCCAGACAAGACACCACAATTGTTGTAGTTGTGGTAGCCAGACAAGCTACCACAAATGGTTTGTAGAGATGTAGCCAGACAGACACCACAATTGTTTGTAGTGGTGGTACCAGACAACCAGACTAACCTACCACAATTGTTGTAGTGGGGTAGCCAGACAACAGACTACCCACAATTGTTGTAGTGGTGGGTAGCAACCAACAAGACTACCACAATTGTTGTAGTGGTGGTAGTCAGACAACAAGACTACCACAATTGTTGTAGTGGTGGTAGCCAGACAACAAGACTACCACAATTGTTGTAGTGGTGGTAGCCAGACAACAAGACTACCCATCAATTGTTTTGTAGTGGTGGTAGTCAGCACAACAAGACTACCACAATTGTTGTAGTGGGTGGTAGCCATACAACAAGAAACTACCACAATTGTTGATAGTGGTGGAAGTCAGACATGGCTACACCAATTGTTTTGTATGGTGGATAGGTCAGACCAGGACTACAACACTTGTTGTAGTGGTGGTAGTCAGACATGACTACAACAATTGTTGTAGTGGTGGTAGTCAGACATGACTACAACAATTGTTGTAGTGGTGGTAGTCAGACATGACTACAACAATTGTGTATGTGGTGGTAGCCAGACAACAAGACTACCACAATTGTTGTAGTGGTGGTAGCCAGACAACAAGACTACCACAATTGTTGTAGTGGTGGTAGCCAGACAACAAGACTACCACAATTGTTGTAAAGGTGGTAGCCATAACAATAAGACTATAACTACCACAATGTTTTGTAGTGGTGGTAGCCAGACAACAAGACTACCACAATTGTTGTAGTGGTGGTATCCAGACAACAAGACTACCACAACTGTTGTAGTGGTGGTAGCCAGACAACAAACTAACCCAAACTGTTGAAGTGGTGTAGTCAGAACATGACTACAAAAATTGTTTGTAGTGGTGGTAGCCAAACAACAAGACTACCACAATTGTTGTAGTGGTGGTAGCCAGACAACAAGACTACCACAATTGTTGTAGTGGTGGTAGCCAGACAACAAGACTACCACAATTGTTGTAGTGGTGGTAGCCAGACAACAAGACTACCACAATTGTTGTAGTGGTGGTAGCCAGACAACAAGACTACCACAATTGTTGTAGTGGTGGTAGCCAGACAACAAGACTACCACAATTGTTGTAGTGGTGGTAGCCAGACAACAAGACTACCACAACTGTTGTAGTGGTGGTAGTCAGACATGACTACAACAATTGTTGTAGTGGTGGTAGCCAGACAACAAGACTACCACAATTGTTGTAGTGGTGGTAGCCAGACAACAAGACTATCACAATTGTTGTAGTGGTGGTAGCCAGACAACAAGACTACCACAATTACTTCCGGAAACAACGCCCTCCCCCCATTCCACATACGCAAATAACATCCCCCTTCCCTCCACCTCCACCCCCACCTCCCCCCCACCTCCCTCCTCCACCTCCCTCCTCCACCTCCCTCCTCCACCTCCCTCCTCCACCTACCCTCCCCGCCCTCCCATCCCTCCCCCCTCCCTCCCTCCCCTCCCCCTCCCATCCCTCCCCCCCCCCCCTCCCTCCCCCACCACACAAAATAATAATAATAATAAT